TTTTTTTTTTTTTTTTTTTTTAATTTGCAGGTTTCTCTTAAGACTGGCATTCATTTGCCTTTTCATTTTTGTATTCATTGTTTTAGCTTTTAGAGACCCTTTCTTGTCCCCTATGGTTCTGGCCCTGGAAACAAGTGTCTAGGGGGCTGTGACCAGACACACTGTAGCTTCATGTTTTGAGACGTATTTTCTGTGATTGGTTAAAGCTCGAGATGTCAGCCATTTTGAAACGCTCCATTTTGAGGACATTTTGAGAGAGGCCACAGCTGTTTTGGTGCTTAGTATTGTTGTTGCTAAGTGCCGTTGAGTTGGTTGTGACTATGTATGGGGTTGCTGAGGAGCAGCTGGTGGCTTTGAACCACTGACCTTGCGGTTAGTGTCCAGTGCTGGTCCTCCAGTGCTGTCAGGATTCCTTAGTATTGTTACCCAGCAGAATTTCTCACATACCCTCAATTCTTGTCCTCTCACTAGTGGGGCCAGGAAGACAAGAGCTGTGCTCTAAGGAGCCTGCATTTCTGTGATGGCACCTGGCAGGACTTTGGAGCTTGGTATAGCATAATCCAGATGCCTTTCTAGGATGCCCTTGTTGCTATGATTGTAAATGGAGAGCCGGTGAAGGTAGGCAGGCAAAACAAAGTTGGAGTGAAACAGAGCTGTACCAGCTGAAATGGAGAGTACGCCAAAGGTCTAAGTAGTGCTGTAGAGGTGAGTTAGCCAGTGACACCCTCCATAAATCAAGGTCGTTGGCAGCTGTCCCTGTCCTGTTGTGTTGTACCCAGCAGGTCTTGGTCGTGGAGCAATAAGAGTGTCCTCCAGACCTGAGGGGCACACTTCTTTAATCCCTGGCACCTAATCGTGTTTTCCCACCCTGCGTTTCATTGCAGGTTCGAGTCATCCTCCCATGCCATCAGTCTGAGCGCCTATTTGCGAGAGCAGAGAAGGGAGCTGTACAGTAGGAGTGGAGAACTTCAAGGTGGGTAACTTGAACCTCTCAGAAAAGCGTCGTTTACTGGAGGGGGACCTGGGCTGCCTTCACAGGATCCTAGCAGAACCTAATAATCCTGCCCCAGCATCTGTGGCCAAGGAGCCATGGGATTTATACACCTGCCACCATCCAAGTGGGAGCTCAAAGCCAATAAGAGAGCAGGTCAGACTTGCTTAAAGGTAGCGCGCTGAAGTCCAGTCACGGTCCTGGGAACACCAGTCTTCCGTGGCTGCCACTCTTCCTTTGCCTTTTTATTTCTAACAACTTTCAGAATACGGCAGGAACATCTGAGATTTGGAATACAGCACGTACAGCTTCTGGCATTATCTAAAGGGAAGAAGGGTGTCTCTAAATAGTATGGCTTAATCAACTCATTTTGATACATAGAATATTTGATACACAGGTGTGGTTCATTTTAGTCTGCAGAAGAAAATACTTAGAAATAAATTACGTGGTTGTATAAAACTTTAGATCAATACCATTTCCTTCTCTGATACTAATCATGGTAAATGTAATCAATTAAAGTAAGATTTGCTGAAGACCTGCTAAGTGTAAGACATTATTCTATGCATTGGAGGAAGCGAAGTGAGGTTCAAGAAATAAAACATGTAGCTGTAAGATCCACTCTTAAAACTCAAGTATGTATATATATATAGTGATGTATCTATATATCACGGGAGTCTTAGTGTGGTGCTGTGGGTTAATGCATCAGATTGCAAAGTCATTTGAATGGCAAGGTCGATGGTTCAAGCTCCATAGCTACTCCTTGGAAACCCTATCCAGGGTCACTAAGGGTTTGGAATCGACTCGATGGCACTTAACACCAACACCAACAATATATTATGTGCCTCTGTGTGTGGGTATATGTGTGTGTGTGTATGTACTTACATTGTCGTTCAGTGCTGTTGAGTCAGTTCTGACCCTGTAGAGGACTTCTGAATCTGTAAATCTTTGTGGGAGCACAAAGTCTCTTTTTCTCTCCTGTGGAGTTGCTGGTGGGCTAACCTTGTGGTTCGCAGTCCAAGTGGGAATCCTACAGAGTCACTGTGCTTCCGTATGTATGTATGTCGTTGCTAGGCGCTGTTGAGTCAATTCTGACTTATAGTGACCCTGTATGGGGTTCCAGAGGAGCAGTTGGTGAGTTTGAACTGCCAACCCGTGGTTCACAGTCCAGTGCTGATCATAAAGCACCACACCAGAAGTTCTCTGTATAATGTATTCATATATGTATCTATTTCTGACTATTGGTAAGAAGATAAGGAAATGCTAACAACTGAGTAAGAGGCATGCATAAGATGGCTAAAGGAGTTGAGAGAAAGGAGGGATCATGCAAATTCTTTGAGAGCTCTAAAGTTTCTCCTTGAGAGGTGGATAGGATTGCGTTTACTATCTTTGATGTTTTGTGGGCACTGGGAACATATTGCAGTTACAAACCTACACAGCGCCGTATGTGTTTTTTCCAGACTCACCAGTTTGAAGGGATTGTCTGCATCAGCTATGATTTAAAGGCCATTTATTCCCTTAGAGTGAAGGAGACTCGAAGTCCGAATTCAGGCTTGGGTGCCGAGCCTGGCGGAAGGCTTTCTCTCTCTGCTGACTCTGGAGCGAGGCCCACGCCTCTGGGCTTCCACTCCCGGGCAGTCTTCCTGTGACTGGCATCGCTCTCCCCCATCTCCTCTAGCTTACTCGTTTGTTTAATCTCTTCCATGTAAAAAGATACTGAGTCAAGACACTGTGCACACTCATCCTGTCCCATTCACATTACACATCTCATTCCTAAATGGGATGACAGCCATGGAGGAACACAGTTCAGGTCATAGCATCCCGCCCACATTTATAATCTTCCCACATGCAAAACACATTAACCCTATCATCCCAAAAAGTCTTAAGTCCAAAATCTCATCTTCTGAATTATCTAAATAAAACCTAAAAAATAAAATGATCTGACAATTCTTCTGTTCTCTTAGATGTTCTAGTGATGGTTCCTCTTCTTCTTTCCCCCAACTCCCATTGGAAGAGGACAACATCTGACTCTCCTTTGGCTTGTTATCCTGCCTGCAGAATCCCAAGAGGCAGACAGTGTTCTCTTGGTTCTCTCTCGCTGTGTCTACTCCCGTCTAAGTGCTGTGGTAGTTGGTTAGATCCATCAGAAACAGGTGTCAGCTCTTTAACAAAAGATGACCTTGGCAGTTAGAACCACCAGCCACTCGCTCCCTGAGAAGCAGATGCTACAGCAGTGACTCTGCTTCTGTGAACTGCGGCCTTGGGGGACACGCTGGGGCAGTTCTCCTCTATGTTGTGGGGTTGTTATGAGTTGGAATGACTAGCCAGCAGTGAGTTTGGTGATTGGCCATTATACATAAACTTTAGTATGTGAAGTGCCGTCGAGTCAGTTCCAACCCATAGCGACCCTGTATAGAGTTTCCAGGGAGCAGATGGTGAGCTTGAACTGCTGACCTTGTGATTCAAACCAACTTTGTAGTCCAGCACATTAGCCCACAGAGCTACCCCAGGCCTCCATAAGCTATACTACATGTCGTTGTCGCCTTTGATTTATCTGGCCTAGGACAGAATGTAATGGAAAATAGTTGAAAATCCAACTAAGTTAAAAAGGAAGTTTATTTTCTAAGGATAGATTCCTTGTTTAAGGAATCCCTGGAACCTGATTGGAAACATTTCCATCCTACACAAAGTTAATTGAAACATGGAACTTTCCAGCATCATTCTATTGTACTTCTCAGTGCTCAGGAAACTAGCAGGGGTGAACACATCCTACTCATGGCATTCATTAAACAGGTAACTGAGCTGACATATCACATGCTTGGCAAGAGACTTGATCAGCTGACCTGCTTTTGTAAAAGTTTGATGGTGCTTCATTGGGGATCAAAGTTTTTCTGAAGAATGCTTTTAATATTTCAGCAGAAATGTTAAAATGTTTTTTAAAAAAAGAGAAACCACACCTATTTTCTATCATAAATGGCTGTCCTTGTTCAGCATTTCTATTAATGTGAACAATCCAAGGGACCCAGTGAGATCTGCATTGCAGCTTTCTCATTGTAAAGGTTTAATTGAATACTTCAAACAATTATAATAGGCTGGTGGAAGGTTTTTGTCTCTTCTGTGCCTGCCAGGTAGCTGCAGGCTTCGCTTCCCAATGGTTTGGTTCACAGGGTCAACCTCCCTTCTGTTGAAGGGGAGCAGCAAAGAAATCCAGTGAAGGACCATCAAAGTCATATTAAAAACTCAAATTTTAAAAAAGTTAAGTTCCTGCCAATATTTCCAATTTGTCTTGCAATTAAAAACGTTACCCAACCTAACAACACAAGGGAGAACCAAAATTTAAAATGAGACTTCTTTGGTATCATCAACCCATCTCAATTGGCTCTGACTGGTTTCACTACAGATGGTTCATTATATAGTCTGCTCTTGGCAAATAGGCTCAGGAGGTGGGGGTTCCACTTCAAAGAGCAAGATAACAGGTGGAGATCTGACTTATGCCTGAATCTACGTTAATCCTAGACTTCCTGTTGTTCAGAGTCTCTCTCCTGCGTCTGCGTACTGCTTAGACAGCGGAGGTGTAGGGCAAGAAAGACGCTGGTTTCAGTGAACATTGTGCTTGAATATAGCATTTCAGGTTTAATGTACAGTTCTTCAGGACAATGAGATCACTGATGGACCCATTAGCTTACGAATGTGACAAGAATGAAAACCATTCTCTATCATGGTAAAAAAAAAAAAAAAAAAAAAAAAATCAGTTGCTAAGTTAATCAGTCCTGCTATGCCTCCATTTTCTTATATGAAAAAATAAGAGCTGTTCTCAGCCCTAACTATCACGGGGGGCTATGTCAAGTATAAAGTTACATGTTAAAGCTCTTGAAAAATCACAGTGAGTATACGTGGGAGGAAGATGTGGCTGTCTGCCTTTGTAAAGACCGACAGCCTTGGAAACACTGAGACTCCATCCTGTAGGGTCTCGATGGGTTTGTTTTGTTTTTAATGATTGATTTGAATTAAGGTGATGCTTTCAAAAGTTGATCCTTGTGCAGTTAGGAGTACTTCATGTGCTATGTAATTACACGGTTCCACTGAACCGCTCCTTATCAAGGGGGCCAGTGACTCCCATTTCCCAGATACAGCTCTTGCTTTTCTGTGTTTGTTGCACTTCACTTTGCAGCATCTGTTTTCCTTTGCTCCTCTTTTTGCCCCTTCTGAGCCATCCAATCCACTGTTGGAGGGTCTCAGGGTCTGCCCCTAGCATCACCATTATGCTCACTCTCTAGCCTCTTCCTCAGTGCTCTCAGGCCAGACCAATCTCTTCCTCGTGTCCAGGTACAGCTGATGTGGGGCTCTTGCCAATGCCCTCACAATTGTTTTCTGACTGCCAGCAGCCTCCCCGCCTCCGTGATTCTTGATCTTACTAAGGCTTTTATTTTCTCCATACTGCTTTTCATAATATTCACATCTTTGGATTGTTTGTGCAGAAGTCCTGGTGTTGTAGAGGGTTACATGTTGGACTGCTACTCATGAGGTCAGCAGTTCAAATCCACCAGGTGCTCTGCTGGAGAAGAAAGATGAGGCTTTCTGCTTCTGTAATGATTTACAGCTTCAGAAATCCTATTGTTGTTGTTAAGTGCCGTCAAGTCAATTCTGACCCTTAGCGGCCTTGTATAGGGTTTCCAACCCTATACAGGGTCACTATATGTAGGAAACGACTCAACTTCACTTTGCCGGACCCAGAATGCAAGTCTTATTAATTGGTCTACTCCAGTGCCCTCGATACGTGGGGCTTCAATAGCAACCCTATACACAGTAGAACAAAACACTGCCCAGTCCTGTACCATCCCTACAGTTATCACTAAACGTGAGCCCACAGCTGCTGCCGCTGTGCCAGTCCATCTTGTTGGCCGACTCTCTGTCTTTTTTTTGCTGACCCTCCACTTCACCAAGTATGATGTCCTTCTTCAGGGACTCGTCCCTCCTGACCATAT